ATTTCTGGTTCCGCCTGCATTTATGTTATGATGTTATCATTAGAAAGACTACAGTTAAAAGGAATTTGGCCTGTGCAACTACAATCTTATCTTTACTATTTGAATGAGCATGCATGTGTAGATAAATTTCCAACTTTCTGAAAACTTTAATGGTTCCGCGATTTAGAGGTTCGGTTGTCCTGCATTTTTTATTAAAATTGACCAGACTTGACTTTCTCTGATAGAAAAAACAGCCTTGGAACTCGTTGACTAAGACAAACAAGGTCCCAGGTTCAACCCTCGCTGCTACTGGATGCATATTTGCAGGCAGTCCTGATCAATATACCAAAAATGTTTGAATCTTCGTGCTGTCCAGGTTCTACCAGCAATCATTATATATCTACTGGTGGTTAGACATATCTCGCAATCAACACATACTGTGAGAGGAAGGGTCTATCTTGCATGGAGAACAAAAGGAATAAACTTCCAACTTTCAACTTTCTGAACACTTCGATAGCAGGACTTTACCCCGATGTGATTACTTACAGAACAATAGGATGATCAACAGATTTTTATGAGAAGCAACTTAGAACTGGGAAGAGAAGACATTTAAAAATTGCAGGGGACATGGTGAAACTATAATGCCCTAAAACTCCAGCTTAGTGTTTGACATGATAAGGGTCAATATGTAACAAGCTCATATAGGACAACGAAAAAACAAATTGTTATAGAAGTGTAGTTTTAACATTGATAAAAATTAGGAAGCAAAAACTATGAGATAAAAACTAATGATAAAAAGTGATAAAAAAAAGTTGACAATGAAAGCTTTTCTTATATAACTAAATAACGCCAGAAGTCAAATCAAGTACCCACCTACTTCAGCAGCTTTCATTGCAGCAACTTTTGCTGTATTCAGATCCTGAGCAGTCTCAGACTGATTCACAGAAGCATTAACAGGTTTGGAAGTAAATTTCCAGCCGTCCCTTCATTCTGCCTTAAATTTGAGGATGCATTTTCATCTGCACAATTTGCATTAAGTTATGAAAATAACAGGTCTAGAGTCTGATTAAGAATAACCATAACCACTGGTAGATATTTAAGAAAATGAAATATGATAACAATGAAGGAAAAGTTACATGCACCGTGATTACTAACGAATTTACTACCTTCTGAATCATAATGCTCAATTTTCTTCAATGAAGCAGCTTCATCCGGAGATGCTTTGTTTTTTTAACTTCCATGTCATCTATGCTAGCTCTCTCATTCTGATCCATTGCACTGTCATCATATCTCCTCTTCTCCTTAAGCACATTGATTTCTTTATTGGCTCTAAGGTGAGAGTCTTTATATCTTGTTGAACCATTCTCTCTTCCTAAAATTGGATCTTTACCAATTACCATGTGCTCGTCTTCTCACGAGAAGATCTCCGACTACTCTTGTAATCATCAGGTGATAATTTATCCTTTCATCTCGAGCATCCCTATCTTTATCAAAATCTTTGACGTTCGTGCCTGTAATCTTTATCTCTACTTTTATGACCTCTGCTCTCAGATTTCACCATGGATGTTTATCTCCACTTGGCCAAAGTTCTCTAGACTTATCAGATTTGATATCATGCCTCATGTAGTCAGAATCGGTCCCACTCCTTGATTTTTGCCCTGAGTGAGATGAATTGTGATAATCCCCATTTTTAGCATAATCATGAGAGGACCTGTGTGAATGCTTGTCAGAATGCCTGTGATAGTCACTGCCTCTCCTTGATTGGTTGTAATTTGACTCCCTTTCTAACTCTCTCCTATCATCCTTCCTCCATCGGTCATTAGAATAAACTGTACTACGGTTTTGATTCTTCGGACTACCTGTTAGATAACCACCGAATGTAAATCGGCATCATATCAATATATCAAAAAGACCATCATGTCATATATACTATATATATATATATATATATTTATATATAATATAATGTATATCAGAAAAATGGAGAAAGAGCTGGCCAGCTCATCGGCGCGCCGTGAGGCTGACAGCTCATAATGACATGTGAGCCCCAGTACATCAGTCACCAATCTAGTAGGGGGGCTCACATGTCATAGAGCTGTCAGCTCACCGCAGTGAGGCTAGCACCAGCTCTTGAAGAGCTGGCGCCGCTCACGGCCACTCGTGAGCTGACAGCTCTATGACATAGTGTAGCCGCCCTACTAGTCACATCTAGTAGGGGGCTTCATGTCATAGAGCTGTCAGCTCACGGGGCCGTGAGCTAGCCAGCTCTTCTCCACAACTCATTATATAATATATATATATAATATATATATGATATATATATATATATAATATATATATATAATTATATATATACCAAAATCACATAGATCCAAATTTTTCTAGTTTATTCATCTAATGACATAGAAATGAATAATCTGTAACTGTCTTAGATGGTCGGTTATTTTGAAATGCTTGAATTATAGGGTAGAAAATTGGATTTGATCCAGCATACACTTAGATCTTGATGACATATAGATAACAATGGATGGTGTGATCATTAATATCGGCGGGACAAAAGTGCATTTATATAAGGCGTGTGTAATCAAGTTAGTTACACCTTGTATGTCGTGTAATCCGTGTCCATAGAGGAACATGCGTATGCTCTGGTACCAAGCACACAAATTTAGTGCTTAGTAGTAAGCATGACCGCTTCTCATTCACATTTAATGGTGAGCAAACAAGTAGAGGCCATTTTCAAGTAGGAAAGTTTAAAGGTGTGGATGAGAATTGGCCACATCATTGCCCAGTGTGTGTCTATATATATATATAATATATATGTGTGTGTGTGTATGTACATATATGTATATCTATATGTGTGTGTCGTGTGTTGTGTATATATATAATATATATATATATATATATATACTATATATATATATATGTGTGTGCTGTGTGTGTGTGTGTGTGTGTGTATACACGTATGTATATTGTGTGTGTATACATATATGTATATATATACATAGAGAGACAAAACTTATGTCAACTTAAGTTGACATCCACCAAACTTCTTAACCATTAGATATATTCCTAGGGATCCTTGCATAATATGAAGTGATTTTATATATATATAGATGAGTGGATAAAAAGTTTGGTGGACAAACGAGTTGATGTCCACATTAAGTTGACACAGAGTTTAACTCTCTCTCTCTCTCTCTCCTCTCCTCTCTCTATATATATATATATATATGTATATATATAT